AATAAAATCTTGCCTTTTATAGCAATGTCTATATTTAAAAAACAATGAAAGTTTTATTTAAGTTCTTAGCAGCTATTCTGAGAGGTCACAAGAACCATTCAGGCTCTGCAACCTCAGGGCCCCGCCCCCAGCTACCAAACCAAGGCAGTTCTAATTGTGTCATTATCTGAAATAATTCTCTACTCTTCTACTTTGAAATGAACAAATCTAAATTAGCTACTTCTAAACCATTTTTTGTGGCGTTCTTCAAGGTTCAAAACTCAGACCACTGTTGATAATTTTGGACATAGAGAATTAGACAAACTTTATTGCAATTTTGTTTACGCAGAGTGTAAACAAAACAACATTACCATGCTTATAGCTTACAACAGTGAAATGAACATTCCCATTCTAAAGTGCAGCAGAATGTAAACAGTGTTGGAGAAAAGGAAACCAGTTTAAGCATAATAGTGCAAAAGGGCATTAATATGGAATGGTTCAATGCAGTGCAAAAATAAATACGTTGCAGAATACACTTTAACATTGAGTTGTGTCCTATTTTAAAAGGATTATAAACGCTTTCAGTCATGTTGGTGCAAAATAATGTTGTAAGTGTGATGCAGAGTCTAGTTTAGTCTGATGGCAGCGGGGGATGAAGCTGTTGCAGAACCTGTTGGATCTGCAGCGTAATCAGAAGTTATTTAAGTATAACTGAACAAACAGCTTTTTAAAAATCATGGACTCCATCTGTCATATTCATCAGATTATCAGATGCTAAATGCTAACAGCGTGCAGTCAGTGCAGGTGTGTTGACATCTGGATGCTTGTGTAGGTGTGATCGAACACGGCCTGGTGGATTCTTCACACTACAAACCAAAGAGCAGCGTTTCAGACGATATGAGTGTGGTGGAGAGCGGCTCAGGAGCAGAGGAGTTTGTCTCTGTGTCCGTCACCGACATCGCCAACACCACCATGGATCTGGAGCCCCAGCCAGCTGTAGAGTCTCTGTCCTCTGGGAACAGCACGGAGGGCGACAACAACCATCTCAAAGCGCCCTCGCGGACATCGCCGGAGTCCTCCGAGAGCGACTGGGAGACTCTGGATCCCAGCGTGTTGGAGGAAGCAGCCCCCAAAGAAGCAGCCGGCGGTGGGCCGGAGCTGCAGGACGCCTTCGACTCCACAGCTGGGACGCCCATCACAGTGCAGCCGCTGGGGGTGGGCGGTCAGGGAGGGGTCACCCAGGGCCTGGTGTCGGGTCTGGAAGAGGACCAGTACGGCCTGCCGCTCGCCATCTTTACTAAGGTAACTAAAACCACCTGTTGTTAAAGTGCTGCATCCAAAGAATGAATCCCATCATGACGTTATAGCTTCTTTTCTACTTTATTTAATAGTTAATGCTTTGCTTTTGTTGTTTCCAGGGTTACCTGTGCCTACCTTACATGGCTCTGCAGCAGCATCACCTCCTGTCAGACGTCAGCATTCGAGGCTTTGTTGCTGGGGCAACCAACATCCTTTTCCGCCAGCAGAGGCACCTCAGTGACGCCATCATTGATGTAAGTCCAGCTCGTTCAGAGTGTTTAATCTAGAAAGGGGCCTTATTGATCAGAAGGCCTTCGCTTCTGCAGGTGGAGGAAGCTCGGGTCCAGATCCAGGACCCGGAGCTCCGAAGGATCCTGAGCCTGACCACAGCTGACCTGCGCTTTGCCGATTACCTGGTGAAACACGTGACTGAGAACAGAGATGACGTGTTCCTGGACGGGACGGGCTGGGAGGGAGGAGACGAGTGGATCAGGGCTCAGTTCACCCTCTACCTGCACTCCTTACTCTCCTCTGCTCTACAGCAAGGTGAGCGGGGATCTGTAGAAACGTCCGAGAATAAGGATTTTACTTCAGCGATTGTGAACGCAGCCTGAACCTGAACTCTTCTTTCTACTCGCTGTCTCAGATAATGAGAGGCTGCTGGCGGATTATGGAGTGCCGTTCGTCGGAGCGTGGAAGAACACACACAACTTCCGCATTTGGTTCAGCAACAAACATCCTGGCATGACAACAATCACTCCAGGGTAGGTGGATTAACCCCATAGCGGCCAGTCACACTGCACCAGGGAGAGAAATAAGGTTCAGGAGTCAGAGACGTTTAACCATCGCAGGTTCAGTTGATCAGTAATGAAGGTACTCTAACTGAAGCATTAGTACCTCATACAAGACAGAAAACAGTCCCTCAGCATGATACTACCCCCGCCATGTTTAACTATGGTGTGTGTTTGAAAACATCAAGTCCTATTGGCTCCACATAATGATGCTGCCACTGCTGTGTTTCACTCTTCACTCCGACACCTGAGTTAAGGAACACAGCTGCGAAAGCTGAAAAAGTATGAAAACATCTAAACTAAGGATGAGGGAAGTAAAGAGGAGCGATCAAGATAAACTGAACTGAAACACAATCAGATTTGATAACTAGAAATGTTTAAAACGACAAACCTTTAAGGTTTTTTTCTTTTTTAGAATATATTAGAATATAGTAGAGAATCCCTTTTTTTCCCACAATGGGGAAATTGTGGTGTTTACAGACTATTTAAGAGGAAACTTTGATTCATTGTTAATTTTAATAGTAGTTAAAAAAACATAACTTTGTTATACTTCAACATTATATTTATATTAAGATAACATTTTATTTATAAATAAGTGAAGTAAGCTCCATAATAATGTTCCTTTTCTCTTCTCCAACATCCTTTGTGTTGCAGCCACCCGTTCCAGGGCCAGTACAGTGTAGCTGATGTGAAACTACGACTCTCGCAGTGAGTATTATTCTATTTCCCTGTTGTCCGCCCTTTAATTTTGACATTCTTTGAATTACAAATGAACATTTCTAGTTAAAAATAAACTCCAAATGAGACATGAATACAAAAGCTTCAATCAGAGACTCAAAGCAGTGACTCTGCTGCCCTCTATTGGTGAAGAGAAGAAAGATTTGTTCGAATCCAGCATGAAGCTGCCTGTGTCTCACCAAGGCTTTCATTTGCTGATTATTGTCCTGTTTAAGGTGAACAGCACATTTAGAGGTCAGGACTTTGTGGTGCTGTAGTTGGTGTCTGTTTAATTTCTCAGTAATTGCAAACCACAAAATGGGAATCTTTGACTCACATTAGAGCAATCTGTAGTTGGAGCAAACAAAACTGACAAAGACGAAAAGTCTTCAGAAAAACTGAGCAAATTTCATTTTTTTCTGTGATTTAAACCTGTTTTATTTGTTACTTAGCTATATTATGTTTTAATGTTTAATAATAAAAGTTAGGGCTGGGTATTTTCGCCAAAGTCATGAATCAATTCAATTTTGATTCATACAGTTCTAAATCAATTAATTTCGATTTGATCTGTTTTTACAATAAGGAAAGTGGTTCAATTGTGTTTCAAAATGCAAAAGTATTTTATTTTTTCCTCTCACATTAAACACAAATTGCAAACTTGTAAATCAGACAGTTTAAGCTTGAGATGTGAGCAAAACTGTCTCAAAAGTGCAAGCTTGTTTGTGAAAAGTGGAAAAAGTGAAGCCTCACTCGAGCGAGCAGACGTGACACAGCAGGGTCACAGCTGACATTCATGAGCTACATTATCTTCCCTGAACAAACTATATTTGCAGCGTTGTCTGTAACAACTACAGGATGCTTTCTGGTCAGCCCCATTTGTTAATGTCTTCAGTCAGCCTATTGGCTATATGTGCAGCTGTCTGGCTTGAAGTAATCTTGAGTGCATCTTTCCTGCTCATTTGAATGTGGACGTCACCCGTGTCACTATAAAACTAATCCATCTCATTCCCTAGACATCAATTCTGCAAAAATGTAATTGATTCAAAATCGATAAAATAGATTTTTTTTACCCAGCCCTAATAAAAGTGCAGCTGATTGATTGATAACTTCCTGAATTCAGTTTGGATCAACCTCCCAGAGCTTTTTCAGCCTCATAGAAACAGATCATCATGGGCGTTGTCGACTCCTCTACAAACCTAATATTATTTGTAACCTGAGGCCAAAATGATAAATAATAATTTTCCTTCATTAGCTTCAGTGTTTTCCTCTAGCCTGCTGGGGTCTAATTGATTTTCGATTGCCCAATTAACTGCCCAGCCCGGTATACCTTTAAGTTATTTGTTGACTCTTTGCTTCCAGAATTACTTTCCTCCCATTTGTGGTTCAGTTTTTGCTGGATTTATGGAAATCGTCTTAGTTTGAACTCGAGCTCTTCTTAATGATATTTTCAGCTCCTTGCAGTTTGTTTTTTCCCCTTTTTTCCTACTTTGTAAGGTTCATCTACCTCCAGCAGATCTTTCACTGTTCATTTAGTTTCTATAATGACTCTGAAAGCAGTTATGTCAGTGATGACTGGTGATGACCCATATAGAGGTCTCTCTGAGTCTTTATGCACACCCTGACACACACGCATCACAGCTGAGAACATTTACCTTAATGAGCCAAATGATCCCATGGGTAACTTCCAGGTAATGTAATTTTGTGATCAAGCCATACTATGAGTGACACACGGTTTTTATTGTTATTATTCTTTAGAAGGTAATCAATAGATTCACACAACCACACATGGATCAATTGATCCCTGATGGGCTTAGAGGCACGTGTGTTAAAAACATGGTGATTATAGTTCAAACAACATGAATGTAACTAATAGAAAAAGTCAAAATGCAACCTTTTGTTAATTAAAGCAGGTCTTCATTGTTTCTTTTCTTTATCGGTACATATTTTCACCAACTGTCCCTCAGTTATGTTTTTTTTTTCATTTCCTGAATTTTTAACATTTGTTAGTTTTCATGTTTTATACTAGCTAGAAATAACATTTCAGTTTTTTAATGATATGCTCCTGTAAACAGGTTTAAGAGCCTGTTACATCTTTAATGTAAACATCTTTAAAAAGCTCTGTGCTTCTAGACCAGAGATCTTAGACTTAGACAGAACTTTGTTGATCCCTTGGGAAGAATCCCTCCGGAAATTAAGGTTACCAGCAGCTTACAGGGCAAAAAAGTTAAATTAAGTTAAAATTAAGCAACAAAAAAGTATTAAGTTAAATTAAGTTAAAATTAAGCAACAAAAAAGTATTAAGTCAAATTAAATTAAAATTAGGCAAAATACAAATACAAATAAATATGGAGTTCACATTTAACAGAAAAAATAAAAGTGTTGCTAGATCTGTGACCTTTACGATCCAAAGAGCCTTTTCTGACCCCAGTCCTGCTAAATAAACCTGTTCAGAGCCACAGATGTTACATGACCTCTATGACAAAAAGACTAATTGCTATTTCTGATGAAAAGTTTTTTTTTTAAGATGAGAACAGACCTGAAACAACCAGGCTGCACCACAGTTCTGCAAAATCACTGTGTGCCAAAAGCAGCTCAATGAAATTTCTGTTAGGTTTGGTTTCTAATGTAGGATCAGCATCAGGGAATGCAAGCTGCAGACTACGATCTGCACGGTTTTCTTCCAATCTTTATAAAACAAAGTAGTGTATCTTCATTATGGTGATTAAAAAATGTTAAGGGTATAGTGGAAGATTTTTGTAAATTTTTTAAAAGACCCACCCTCTCCACTTTTGGGGAGTGGTGGCCTAGTGGTTAGGGCATAGAATCCTGAGGTTCTGAGTTGGAGTCCTACTCCCACAGTATGCTCTCTGAGCAAAGACCCTTAACCCCACACTGGGCCCCATGAATGCAGCTCACTGCTCCCCAAGGGGATGGGGTAAATGCAGAGATAAATTCCTCTAATGTGAGATCAATAAAGTTCAATTCTTACTATTATTCATATTTTTTTTTAAATGCACAATACCCGCTCCTGAGATTGAACGCCTATTAAACGCATGTGAGAGCATTCACAAGCCCATTTCTCCTCGTGCACGCTCTGTTTTAAAGTTACTGTTTGCATCACTCATAAAAGCTTTTTTCCACAATGTCAGACTCAGCACCTGTAACGGAAAATGGGGACGAGCATGTAGGACGTAAACATATCACCAGAAGAATTGACAATTAGAAGGACCATGTATTTATACCATTAAGATTTTATGTATCTTAGCTAGTGTCTAATTTTTTCCAGAGATAAATCTATATTACTTGCACAAAATGTGCTTTATTTTAATTTCAAAGGCAAACTTGATCTGTGAATGTTGTGAGGTCCATCTATCATTATTGCCTGTAGGAGGACGCCCAGCTCTCCTAGTTGCTTTTCCTTTAATTTGCTTCAAATGTGGAGCTGTTTCAGGGTCAGCACTTTGAAAATGTGATATTGGCAGCAGGCAGCCGACGTGACGTCAGCTTCTGATGAGCCCGAGCATCTCCAGGGTCGCCCTTCAGAACTCAGCGGGTGGATTTCTGAATCCGGCTTAGATCCCTTCAGCTTGATGAATACTGTATGGTGCAGGCAGTAGCAGAGTCTATGCATGGATCTCTGCAGGCTCGGTGGGGTGGGAGGGTTGACCAAGGGTCTCATAACAGCCAGAGTCATTATTAATGAGCGAGCTTCATTCTGACAAACAGAACCGGGGACTTCTTCAGTCCCTCGGCTAAGCTTTCGTTCCAGGAAGCCTGGATGAAAGACGACTCCATGCACAGCTGGAGCCCTGCAGGTAGAGTTACCCTCCAACCTAGAGAGCCGCCGATCCGGACCCCGCTCCGCTCTCACCTTACCTTTTGGTGTTTGGTGTCACAGCGGCTGGGACATTTCTCGTAAAAGCCTTAGTAAACAAACAACCTGCAGCCATTTATGATCTAATTAGAAGAAAATATATACTAAAAGAGAATAGTATATAAACTATTCTGTTGTTTAGCTTCTGCACATTTGTATTTTGATTACTTTAAAATATTTTGCTGCACTTTTCATGCAACAGACCCATACATGATAGTGAGATCAATACATTTTTTATTTCATTTCTTTAAAGAATGTAAAAGTAATACGTACCTTCTTCACAAATTTGTTAATTGCATAATTTGAAAGAAAAAAAGCTGTAAGATGCTCTAACTGCTGTTGAAAATAATAAAAAAAAAAACAACAATTTTAATTTGATTGAAATTCAGATTATATTAGCAGTATCCAAATGTCATTTTTAACTTAAAACTTGATGTTATATGAATTTAGGTAACATAATTCCCTTGAAAAAAGCTGAACATTTTTTGCTTGTTTTCCCATTGTGGAGGATCTAAAGAAATAATATAAAGAAAGAAATAAATAAAAATAAAATAAATAAATAAAAATAAAAAAAGGATCTTATTTTCTGAACACAATTGAAGACAACATCAGCGTTTTCCCCTCTGGCCTGAATCAAGCATTAGTTTCCACTTCCTGCTGCCTCATTCACTCTGGGATTCATGTGTTTTTTTTCTCTGAAGATATTAGAGCAACATTTCTTCTGACAACATGAGCTTGATAAGCAGTAGGAGCAGGATGTTAACACAACCATTCCTTTACTAAAACAAACTAAAAAATAAGCTAAAAATAAATGTTACTTCTAATACTGAAATAAGCTGAGTTAATTGGTTGGATCTCCGTTTCTGTGGCGCCTGTCAGCTTCACAACATTCAAGTATTGGAAGTTAGTTTGGACGTTAGCTTTGGTCGCTTTTTTCCCACTAGATTGAATAATGTGGGTTACGAATAGATATAAAACACCAAGTTTTTTTTTCCTCCTGTAAACAAGATATTACCCTGTTATTAACTGCACAATATATATCACCTTCAGGGGCTTTTAAAAAATAAAATTAAGGTGTTAAATCTTGGTGCTCCCTTTTCATGCTCTATATGTTCAGGCTTCGCCCTATATTTGCAACCTAATCAAGCCCTACACCTCAACTCTGGGTCTGAGGTCATCTGGTCAGAAACCGTTTAAAAACTCAGGGAATTGATCTTTTACAGGCGCTGCCCCCCAGCTTTAGAATAAACTTCAGCTGCGCTCTCTGGTCTCAGTAGATGTGTTTAAAAAGCTCCTTAAAACCTTTTTGTTTAGACAAGCGTTCTAGTCTTACTACAAAATTTAATACTGTTATTTTAATATACTGTTTTATATACTTCTATGTTTTTATGCTTTAGTAAATCCTTATTTTTTTATATTTTCTTATCTCTGTGAAGCACTTTGTGAGTCTGTAAAAAGCTGTATACCAATAAAGTTTGCTTACTTGCTTGAATTATAGGTTTGTGCAAATTTGATATTTAGGCAAAATATTTTGGGGCATAGAGGCATTTAAAGGTGCTGTATCATTCAAACTCCAAATTTTTAGCCCTTGAATATTTTGTCTAAGTTGTAGCCTAGAAGTGCAGAAAAGTTCTATTTAGTCTCTCCTGGTGTTCCGTAGACATCTTCATTTTTTCTGTTTGGGTTTTTAAATCTGTTCAGTTTCCTCTTTCCCTTGTGTTTTTTAAACGTATTATAGAATTTGCTATGGAACTGCTAAAAATAGCTGCTTACCAGATTTGCAGTGCCACCATTTTATCTCAAAGTTATTTTTGTCGTCCAAGCTCAAGGGTGCCGAAGCTAAAAGTGGATCAACTAAATGTTTAGTTGTTAAGTGTAATAACTAGGGCTGAAACAATTAATCGTAATTAATCAATTATTGAAATAATCGTCAACTAATTTAGTAATCGATTCATCTTTAACTGGAGTGAACATGCCTTAAGCTGACAGAGCAAACCAACTAAAGCGGTAATTGTATCAAATTTGTAAAAAAAAATAAAATAAAATAAAAACCATCATTCTGGAATAAGATAAAAAAAAAATTTCTTAAAAGATTTTTTTCAATATGCTCTATCCAGAACTCCACAAGTGGAAAAGTTTCATCAGGTTTAATTTTGTAAAAAGTGTTTTTTATAAAGGATCTTAGACTACGATTGTTAATCTAGTAATCGAAAATTTGTTTTTAGAGATTAATCAATTTGCAAAATAATCGTTTGTTGCAGCCCTAGTAGTAACTTCCCCCAAGTTTTGGCACCAGTAGCTTATTTTATCGGTGACACGAAGCTACAAAAAGGGCCGAAAAGGATGGAGTGGAACCCTCTGGGACCTGCAGGATGTCAGGGCGCACCAAAAAGAGAATATACGAAAATAGAACGTTCCAAATAGAGGTTGGCTGACAAGCTAAATACCAATTAAATCACATCAAAACATTGCATTTAAACCACAAATGAATAATTTAGTTGAGAAAACATTTAAAAGCCCCCAGCTACCACCTTTGCTCGCTAAAGTGGAGAAATTTTTTGAAGAAGACAAGGGTCCCGAAAACACAGCCCTGACGGACGCCACAATTGGATGAGTCCAGCATGTTTTATTTCTACTTTAAAGGTTTTATAGTTTAACTTCGTCATCTAGAGTGATGGATTTTGTTTGTAACATTGTGTTTTTTGGTTAATCCAGAGGAGTTTATCACTTTTTTTTTCTGATTTCCCTTCACATGCATGTGATAAGATCCAGTAAAATTTTGGTTTATTGACTACTTATTCATGATGCATCTTCTAATTTATTTATCCTAAAATATCTGTTTTTGGATATAGTCCTCCCACCAGAAATCCTGTCCCGTTTCCCTGCACGGTAAACACCCAGTTATTTTCCTGAAACTTGACTCTGGATGAAAGAGGAAGGGGGGCGGGGTCAGTGGGGGACACGGGGCCTTAGGCGATGGATCCTTCTTGTCAGGATGTCAGTTCAGAAAGTAAAAGGCGAGTCCATCCGTTGCACTCTGCTTGTCACCGGATGAAAGATGTAATAAAAAGTGGAAGCTACGGTTCACTTCCCAGTCACCATGATGGTTGAGGGTTCTGGAAGCTCTGGGGGGCAAAACTAAGGCTGACATTTTTCTCTTTCCTGTCTGTGACAAAGAGCAGCTGGTGACGAAGACCATCTTAGTAAACGAGTTGTGAAGAGACAAACTGCTGCAGGCAGATAGGATCTTTCTTTATTGGTGGCCTCGCACATTACGCCACATAGGATGTTTATCTGGGTCAGCCTAGGAGATGAACAGTGGAGGCAGGAGCTCAGAGTTAAAGCTTTGAAAAAAGAACTGCTCCTAGAAAAAAAAAAAAAACCTTTAAAAAAAACCCAAACAAAAGAAGCACTTTAGGGTTAAAAGCCTAATTAAGGAGATTAATTTGATGCCTTTAAAATGACACTCTGATTGACAGCCGTCTGCTTCCTGCAGCTGCTGACACTATATTCTTTTTAACAACGCTGCTGCAGCCCTGGATCATCCAGGAGTGAGATTCCCGCTGAATGTCAGGTCAGCCGGGACCCACAGGAAAGGCTGAGTGTTGGACCCACACCAGGGGAGGTTGCAGTTCAGAAAAAGCCACACGGTGCCGCCTTTAATGTTGGCTGTGAAACACTGCCAGCTCGTTTCTGTCCTCAGATCAGCTCTGATCCCCCGATTTTCCAGACGGCTGCTCATTTTCTGCTGCTACACAAGCGACTCGGTGAACTCGAACAGCATCGAAAAGTTTAGCCGTTTCATTAGTTTGATTCCAAAAGTTAAAACTGATAGAAACTGATTGTGCTGGACAGGTTAGGCAGAAAAGGTCACTGCTGGCTTTTCTAAGGCTGCTGTATTAAAATGTACCAACTGGGAGGAAGAAGTGTGGTTGAAACATTTATTGAAGACCCAGAATTGGAACGTTTTAATATTTGACAAGTACGACGACAATGAAATACCAATAAATTAAAATAATAAAATACAATAAAACACTGCTGGACTACTCTACAGTTAGCAGGCATCATATTTAAACAGACAGTCATTGACCCCTTTTACAGTAATATTAAGCCTCTAAAGACCATTAGTTGTGTTTCCATTACAAATGTGTGCAAAACTTTCACTAATGAAAAATGCACATTTTCAAAATAGTGGGGTTTCTTTTAAATGAGAAGTAAACTAAAAGTAAAATTGCATGTGAATATGTTTCTTTATGACAACTCTTGAAAACAACATGGCAGTGGCAGATCTTAACACTTATATGATGTATATCCATCATGTGAATTAAATATAATAAATACTCATTCTTCTCATTTTGCTTCATCATCCTCCAACTCTGTCTGGTCTTCTTCTTCTTCATCTTTTTAGAAAGCAGTAAGGTTTAGGTGCAGATCATGTGACTCATAATGTAAAAAACTGTGTCGGTTACAGTTTTGGGAAATATAAGAATTTCGAATACCACTAGAAAGCTACCTTACTGAAGTGTGAAAACTTTTTTTTTTTAGTTATGCAGTGTGTCCATTAAGCAAGTATATTTATTCAAATCAAAATTTGATGGTTAATGGAAATGCAGTTAGCGCTAAAGAAGATGCTGGATCCCATTTCATTAGTGAAAAGTTTAAAAGTCTGATTGAAAAAAGATGCAACAGCCAAAAGAATTCAC